AATGAAGCAGTTCCAGATGTAGGTTTAGAAGATGAACAATGAATACAGATCATCAAACATATATGTTTTTACAATTTTATTTCTAATAAAAGATTTATTAGAAGAACATATTTATATACAAATAGAATATGTATTAGTAATCCAGGAAATAAAAGGTTTATTGTCAATAGTCTTGTTCTCTTTTTCGTAGAGAAGAATCTAGCAGAAATAAATTGTTTGCTTCTCTGTCCGTAAAGCCATAAAAACATTTCTAAAGGTATTTCGATGCAGCGACTTCAAATGTGTGCCTCATTTGCTCAGAAAACTGCCACGGAGGAGAAGCGATGAATTAGGAGGAGTTATGCAGACTGATGGAAATCGAGTTTTTGGCAATGCATTTTTATGAATATAGAAATGTTCCTCTGCTTGTAGTGCAGAGCGTGGCGATCTTAAACTGTTGACTTTCTCGCATATAAGATTACTAACACTTCACTTATTCGTTAAAGGCTAGTTCGAGAAGTCGCTAGTGCCGACAGCTCAAATATGTTTTGATCTGTGTTTACTTCTGAGTAGGATACATTTCTACGAGAAAGAGCTTAGCGAGTACTCGGACGAGCGTTACTTGTCTTATAGAGATAAGGTAATGAAAGCTAATGCTTTCCATGATATGACATTAAATTCATGTTAAAAAATACATTTTACCAACTGATGTTATTACTAAACATTATTTTAGGATGATTCTTTATAATTAAGCACCACATCTAATGGATTATACTTCAAAATAGTGGCGCCTTTTATAATTCGGGTGAATCCATTGATTTGTTTTTCGATAACATATAGTTTTTTGTTCGTCACGTATGAAATAATATAATTCATCTTTCTCAAGCCGGTGATTCCTGAAGCAGTGTTCCATGAAATCCCCCGGAATACCACAGAACCGGCCATTTCCGTGCCGGATTGCTCGACCTGGATTGTTTTGTCTACAACATCAGCACAACTATTTGTTGAATGCTATACAAAATAACTACGATAGCAAGAAAACAAGAAGTTATAGCTTATATGACTACTCATTATACTAATGTAGAGTATGATGCAGCTAGTCGTATTTGTGATGATGCTATGGAATTGTATCATCTATCATCAACATACACGGATTTCAATATACTATTACAAGAAGATGAAAAAGTAATATCAGCTCTTGTTGTATTATCCTGCACGAGATTGAATTAAATGAAACCGCAGGGTACGCACATTGACTACTTCATATAAATTAAACTCGTATTTTTTTTTCAGACTGTATGGAGAAATATTGTGTTTTATTTTATTTCGTTTTAATAATAACAGTTCCAACTACTTTTTTTTACAAATAATTGGATATCATTGCCAGAATGATAATAATACTACTGAATCAGCAAATATATTAAAAGTAGTATTAAATACGTTTTATTCTCATATAGTAAGATAAAATATTTATTTAAATTTAGAATGAATATTGTTACTTTATTTTTTGTAGAATACATCAAATATTACTTCTATACAATGGCAATCACATTTATTTAAATCAATAAGAAGCAATTTAAATTTATGTCGTCAAGTGAAAGAGATTACAGAGGTAAGTGTTAAAAGTATTCATAAAAAAATGTTCAAATTTTTTGCTTTTTTAGATTTAACAAAAGCTCAATCAAGTTTTGTAAGGGTGTCGGAGTGGATGAATATAATATTCATCTAACAACCACACCATTCTATCGTGTTTTGTAATATTTATATATAAAATATATATTAGTAACCTAAAAAACAAAAAGTTTATTGTAAATAATCCTGATGTACTGAGAATAATCGATAAAATCGAAAATGTAATATAATTCAATAAGCATCTTCATCAACGATGTGCATAAAATAATATTTTTATCATTAAAAAATAATCTCAATGTTTCATTATAGTTCCAATTAAACAATTCTTTTGACAATTAAGTTCGAGAGCTTACATTTATTGTGCGTGTTTAAAAAACTTATAGATAATAAAAGTTTCAATGATTCAATCATGTTATATATAAGACAATTCAAGACTATAACAATTTTTCTATTTCTTAAAAAATTTGTGAGTGCTTAATTTAAAATTAGATCAATCTAAAACATAATTTGATGATAATCACCTACAATATATTAAAGTATAGACAAAAATATTGAATACTTACTAGAAAAGTGAAAATAACAACAGATATAACTGAGATAATTTTAAGAATTCTTGATAGTTGTTTTATTTAAGATTGATCAATTGGTGGTATTGATTTAGCAAGCGGAGTGTCTATTACATTTAAATAATTTGAAATTATCTTATCTTCTAAACAAATAAAATCAAGACTGAAAAAATGAAGTAATAGATGAAGCATTAATATAGACTCGAGGGAAATTTTTTTTCTATATTAGAATAACTCTTCATTTTTCTATTTTTCAAAAATAAAATCTATGAAAAGAGAAAAGAAAAGTTTTTATCTTTGCAAACAATAACTTTGTTATGGATAAATCATTGGAATCTTCTTATCATGAATAACATAGTAATGAACATAAAACATTGTATATATTACATGCACAATATTATTATTTAATTTTGTTTTAAAAAATAGAATTAATCATTTGTAAGCAGTTATTGTTTATGAAACACTAGTTTAGTAAGTTTCATGATAATTCTCTTATCTTTTCTTAGATTGTGAAGAGTTTTATATAATTATTATCGCATACAGAATGAAACTCTAGACTGTGATAAAAGTCTACTAAAACAGATGAATCATTAAATAGAAAAGAAATAACAATGTATCGTGATATATCTAGTCGACTAATCAGGTATCAATGAAAATAATAAAATTAGGGTGTGTACAAATCACGCTAACTAAAGCTATATATATATATATTTATTGGGTTTTTTAATTTCTTAAACAACAAACAATTACAAGTTGAGATAAATAGAAATATGATTATTACAAAACAATGTCTTGTAACAATTCTACGAAAAGGGTTGTCTTTAGATAGAATTTTTGTAAGTGACGTCATTATAATTTTGTTTTTGCCTTTATATTTCTATTATTTTGGTTGAGTAATAACAAGAAGAGAAGAAAGAAAAAAAAAACACGTGTACTTCTCAAAAAATCTCTATATATGATGATTAATTTTGAATATTTGAGTCAGTTATATTAACCAAATCAAATACGACAATGACGGAAGAAACTCGTAAGTTAATTTATTTAATAAAAAAGAAAAAGATTTAATCTTGATTTTTGTTTTAAATTTAAGAATCATTTATAATGAATTGTGGAGCATTTATTGATGTTATTCCATTTATATTAAATAATTTAGATCTAAAAAGTATAGTACAATTATCACAAACATGTCATTTTTGGAGACAAATTATTTACAAGAATATTAGATTATGGCCAAAATGTCTTAAATTACCTTATATAGGTTCTATGGGTAGGGAATATTCTAGACGTCATGATCTTCAATCTATAATAAATGCAAAACTATGGTCAATGATTTTACCACCAGAAGATCCAAAAGCATTAGAAAATCTTTTAAGTAAAATGGCATTATCACAAGAAAGTATCGAACGATTTCGATTAGTAGAAAAAGTATTTCAATCTAATAAAACAAATTCAATCTTATATTGATTTTCTTTTTAAGGTTGATTTTAAAAATTATATTCATACAGATGAATCATTACGTTTAACTGCTTTATTATTTCCTTCAATTAAAGAAATATCTTTTGAAGGAAATCTTTTAACAATAAATGGTATTGAATATATTGCCAAATCATGTTTAAATTTAAAATATATCGAATTTTATCAATGTAAAAATTTAAATATAAATGATTGTTTACAATTATTTAATAGAAAAGAACATGAAATGAATTTAGAAAGAATATTTCTTTATAATAATCATCAATTTAATGAAAAAACAATTGAAGATTATTTACCATTTATGGCATTATGTCAAAGATGTAAATTATTTTTTAATAAATTTAAAAATGATAAAGATATGTTATGTTTATATCATCCAGGGGTAAATTCATTTATTTCTTTACATAGATCTTTTTTTCATTCAATCTAGAATTGTTTTATTATTATAAGAGAGATAAATTATTCTTGATAAGTATCATTCAATTCTATTTGTAGACATATAGTGGTTATGGTCATAGTTGTTCATCATATAGTTGTTGTGGAAGTAATACACCACGTTATCCATCAACATTAGGATGTCAATATACTTATCATTCAACAGAGACAGAATCATTACCATTTAATTCATATAGAACTCATCAGTTACATGAAGGGTAAATATAGAAACTAAATTTTATTTAATAAAAATTTAAATTTTATTTTTAGACATCCAGAATATATGTTTCAACCATATAATTATAATATGTTTTCATTAGATTTTACAGAACGTCGTCAATTAGATTTTTGCTATAAAAAATGGGATGAAAAAAATGAATTACTTCATACAAATTGAACATTTACATTTATTCAATAAATCATGAGAAAATAATGAAAATAGAAAAATTTTAATATAAATCTAAACTACTTTAATAGTTTAACTTGTTTCAATTCTCAATTATTTCACTTAGTAAACTTCGAAAAAATATGAAATTTATTCATTCTCTGTAATATAATCAAAATATAATACTGACATTTTTTTCTCCTCTTCAAAATGACATATAAAAGTCGAAGAATATATTCTTTAATTTTTATATGTCATTCTGAAGAGAAGAAAATTGTAAATAGAAAAGATCTAATAGGTCTACTTTTGGTCACGATCAAATGATCATCTAGATCTTAACTTTGAATCTAACTTATCATTTCATGTATATTTTATTGATTATCGAAATAAAATCAATAATTCTTCATTTTAATTATATTTCTAATATAATTATTTCATCTATTTCACTGAATAATGAGTAATATTTTTTTTGATAAATTTATTTTATTAATCATATAATTTGTAATTAAATTAATTTCTAAAGACTTAATAATATATCGAAAGAATGAAAATAAATATTTGTAGATAGTGAAAATATTGTTTAAAATTTAAAATAAATAAATTAGTAATTGTTGAAATTTAATATATGAAAGAAAATTCTTTTATTAAATGTCAATTTTCTTGTTAACCTTTTTTCTTGATAATAAGACCTTTCGATCTTCTATTCTTTATTTTACAATAACATACACAAACTCAATCTTTTCTTATGAGATTCAAAGGTCTTATTTTATTTTCTTCTCAATTTTAAATTAACCAAACAATCAATACAAATAGATTTTTTATAAAGTAAGAATTACATTAAACAAAAATAATTAGCTCTTAGTGATACATATAGAAGTTTTTTTCATTCTTTAAATATGTCAGTACACAATACATTTAGTAATATAAAATGCAGAATAACATTTTATTTTATTTTCAGTATGATATCATTATAGAAATTCTCATAAAGTTTAAACCAGAAAGAGTAACTATTATTGTAGAATCATTAAGAAGATATTCTACTAAGCTTTTAAATATTCGATAATTTTCTTCCCTTATGCAAAAAAACAGTGTAGTTTGCTCGTTCGATAATCTTCTGACTATTTCTGAAAGTAATATCAGTAGAAATTATTCTTGAGAATATTTTTAATCTTATGTTAGAGGAAATAAAAATTGTCGATTAATATATTAATAGGTAAAGGTGTTAAAAACTCTTTTCTTTCTATTTGTTAAGATTCATATATGATTGATCTTCTCTTCAATATTTATTTTTCTCCTTCATATTAATTTTATTTCAAATATATATATATATGTAGGATACGGTTGAATAGATTGAACCAAAGATATGAATAAAAAAACAGGGGAATAAGTATGAACTTTATCATATAAAATAGTGATTAATATCTTTTGTTATTATGAAACAGAAAGATTTGTAATACTATTATTTTAATTGTTATGATAGATATATTTGATGAATATGATTTATATTATTGATGGAAAGAAATAACGAATAGAGAAAATCAGATATAGAAGAACAATGAATAGAATCCATTAAATTCTAATATATGAATTTATTGGATTATTTTAATCGTTCTTCGATATGTTATTTACTTTTCGGAATGTTTTTTTCACTTTGTTTGTTCGTTATTTATTTTGTTTAATGAATCGAAATAAATGTTTCGAAATATATTTATCATAATGAATTAATTCTTATTTATTTTCTATTTCCTTACGATAATCTTTAGAAAGATTATTTAGTTTAATCTTTCGTCACTATATTATCATAAATAATTACTTAAAATTAAACTTTAGATTTTTTCTAATTTTGAATATTGAAAATTAATTTTCAATATAAATTAATTAAGTATAACAATGAATATATACATAGAACGATCCACTCTCGTATTTATTATAGAGTTAAACTTGTAAAATTAAGGATAGATTATTCGATATTGTGTTATAAATCTAAAATAATTGCATTTCTTTTAGAAAAAAATGTTGATAAAAATGCCTAGTATAAGTGGAATTTGGTCATTATTTAGTGTTAGTGAGAGACGTAATATAATCTTATATATAATTGGTATAATGTTTTATAAATTTGGTCTTGAAGCTTATAATGGTTCAATAATAACATTAGCAACAAATCGTTATGATCAAGATGCATTTACAAATAATAAACTATCAAATACTTTTGAAAGAGTTGGATTATTATCTGGTTTAAATCAAGCATCACAATGTATTGGATCAATATTAATTGCTCCATTAATAAAACGTTGGCCAACTCGAACTATTTTATCCGTATCAATATTTATATTTGGAATCTTTACAGCTATTCTTATGGTTATTGATTCAATAACTGGTGGATATATAAAACCAAGTGATTTTAAACCATTAAATAAAAATGATTTTAGTTATTATGGAAAATATTTTACTGATGGAATTATTCCAATTTATTGTATGACTGGTGTAACATATGGAATGGTTGAATTAATTCGACGAGTTATTCCAAGAGATATTGTAGGTGGTGATATTGAAAAATTACAACGAATGGATGCATTAGTTCATATATTTTATGAAATATCAGGTACAAGTGGAGCATTTGCAGCTGGTCTTGGTTTAATTCCTCGTTTTGGAAATAATTATGCATTTATAATAACACCAATATTTTTTACAATAGCATCAATTATTTGGTTATTTTTAAATACAACTAAATTTGATGAAACACAAAGTCAAGATGATACGATTTTAAGTAATGATGAAAAAGAAAAGAAAAATTATATTAAATCTGTTTTTAATGGATTTGCATCATTTGGTCAATCTGTTTATGTTGGTGGAAAAATTGTTTTTACTCATAGACAATTTATTTGGTTATTTTTTGGTTATTCAATTGCACTTTATGCTCATCGTTATCTTGAAAATGGTATTGCACCACAAATTGCACGAAGATATCTTGATAATTCGGAATGGTCACAAATTATAGTTGGTGGATCAAATTTTGGTGAATTACTTGGAGCGTTTTTTGTTTTTCTATTTACTAATTGTATAAGAACTCCATTACCATGGTTACGTATTGATGCATTAATGTTACTTATAATATGGTATATACCTTATTATTATCCACCTGCAGGAGAAGTTAAATATGCATGGTTTATTGCATTATCATTTATTCCAATATCATTTGGATGGGCGGCAGGAGATGTTTCACTTATTGCTTATATTCAATCATCATTAACACATTTAGAAACAAAACATAAAAATGTTTCTGTATTAGGATCTGTTATGGCTTTTCTTTATTCATCATATATTATTATGTATGCTATTTTAAATCCAATACTGGGAAAATATATTGATTATGTTTATAATTCAACTGGAAGTGTTAGACCAGCACTTTTCTATACTGCAGCTATTCAATTAACAGCTATTTTAATTGTAGTCTTTTTATCAACATTTATTCCGAAAGGTTCTTTTGCTTTAAATCCAATTTTACTCGATGAAGATAATTCAAATAATAATAGTCAACAATCAAATGAAATTAATGAAAAAAATATTAATGAAAAAACAAATACTGATAATAATCATTCATTAGAAACAATAACACATTTTTAAATTTAATTAACATTTTCTTTTTCTTTTTATTCTATTTATTTTAAAAATTTTTACCGAATTAGAATAATAATTGTATTCAAATATCAACGCTTTTTTTTTTATCAAATATATTTTATTTTTAAGAATTATACTCATGAAAATTAAAATATTAAATAAAAATCATTAAGTTTCTATTCTAACAATGGAGGTGTTTATATTGTGCACAAGATAAATGACATATTTTCGGGTCGGTGCAGGTAATCAGTGAGAAAAACACATCCACTCGCATCTTTGTATGTGTGCCAAATATATTTTTTCTTATTTTCATCTTTCCATTGATGTCACTAAAGCTTCTATTAATATAATTTGACCACTACAAATGTATATTGGAATTATAGCGTCATGTACGTTTTCGACATGTTATATATCAAACTTTCGATTCAAGGATAAAGGACATTTTTACACAGAGGACAATTTCTAAAGAAAATTCTCTTTTTCGTAGAGAAGAGTCCAGTAAACTTAAATTGTTTGTTCGCTTGTGCGTCTGCAGGGTCAAAAAAACATCGAAAGTCAACTTTCGGAAAAAAACATTTATTTTTCCAGTAAATATGAAGAAAATGCATTTCTACGATAAAGACCTAAGCGAGTCCTCGGATAAGCGTTACTTGTTTTTTAAGGGACGAAATCTAAAGGGCATTTTTTCTGAGAACTAAAACTGGAGAATATTTCATCAAAGAGATTTGTGACATAACTCGTGATCGTAATGTCTTCTGTAGGAAATTCGATCAGGCAATGTTACGACCTGTCTCTCGGTTTAGATCGTAGACCTATTCCATCTACAGTATCTCATCTTTTCTCTACCTACATCTCTTCTGAACATAGTTCCGGGTGAAAGTACTACCTTTGCATTCATGTCTCTCTCTTCGCTCTCGCCTATCTATAGCTATCCGATTAGGAGTCGTGCTCATGTTTCTTATCTTGCAGAATATATATTACGAGGGCATTACAGAAGAGAATCTTCTCATTGGTGCACTGGCCGAACGTCTTCATTAATCCAACATCTTCAAGACGATCGGTTTAACCATTAAGACAAGACAGTTAGAAACTCATAAGATCATACGCATATCTCGTTGCTGTAAAAGTGTTGTTCTGGTTCGTTTGAACTGTACTAGCGCTAACACAGGCTGCCTATGGCCAGACTTATCGGTGATGTTCTCTAAACAGGCATTGTTGAACTGAACCAGCATTAACAGGGTATGGCGGGTGCGTTTCTCTCATTGATTACACATACCCACAGGAATCAAAGAATTATATGATCGCTTCTACAATAAAAAATTACTGTTGAATCTTTATTACAAGAACTTTTTTTTGATGTTGTGTACCAAAAATAAATTATGAAGTTATTTGTACAAAAAAACAGCAAATACTATTTATCTGATATGCGAAATTGTATTTTTGTAAATATATCAACGTTACATTAACACGATAATGAATTAAAAGTTTTGGGTGTGGATGTGGTGTGAGTATATACTCCTCCCATACCGCACCCACACCCGCAAGGTGATTATTATCAATGGCTGAAGTAATGATGTAAGGGGTTATGATTATGGCAGGTGTCGTTTTAACAATATAAAGGTATTATCTCGTCTGATGATGACTCTTAAATAAAGTCGAAAATTCATGAGTCAATATTATTATTATTTCCATTCTTGACTTCACTGCATTAATTATTATTATCTATTACGATTTTCATTCGAATATTGTTATTTGATCGTTTTTTAATTAAAATTATATTTTTTCCTGTTTAAATCTAAATAAATATTTATTTTAAAAAAGAAAAAGAAAAGAAAATTGACAAATAATTATTGAGTAACATTATATTTCTTTTGATATGTTACAGTATCTAGAGCATAAAGTGCTAATATATAAATTGGATCAGGTAAATCATCTCTATAAACTTGAATATCATATTTAAATGAATTAAATAATGGATTAAGATTTGTTTGATAAAATCTTGTTAGAATATAATTTGGTCTTAATTCATCTTTAACATCGATTATAGATGAACCAACTTTATTTTCCATTGTATAAATATGTCCACCATAACCAATTGTAAATCTAAAACCTTGTGGACGATAACGTTGAGTTATTTGTCCTGGCATCCATTGATTTAATTGATCATCGAATACATTAAAATAGGATTGATATACTAAAACAAAATAAATTATTATTTTATAAATAAATTCTTTAAATAAAATCTCACAAAATGGTGACCAAACATTTCTAATCGAACCAATTGTTTGATATGATGGATAACTAATAAGATTACTTAAACGATTATTACCATATCCTAATGTTTCTAAACGACAAAGTACATTATTTTCTGTTTCATCATAAACTGAAAATTCTTCTCGTCTTAATCCAGATGAATATTCATGTGAGACAACATAATCACGAAGATTTCGTCGACTTTCTATTGATACAATTAATAAACATTGTAATAGTATTATACTTAGATATATTGACATTCGACTTTTTATTTTCAAATAAAAATATTTCAATATAAAAGACAAAAACAAAAACAATTTACATACGTATATATATATTGTTCTAGATTAAGTAAATCTAATAGAATTAATCTTTTGAAAAGCGTCAATATTTAAATTGACATACAATGAGATTACAATACTTTAAACTTTTAAGAAATAGTACTTGACAATAAAAGGATTTATAGTTATTTTTATGTCTAGTCCAAAAAAAATAAGATTAGTAAATGTTTTACTATTAATGTCAAATTGCGTTTTATTATTTAGGATTAATCACATTTTAAATTTCTTATTAACAATAAATACTTCTAAGAAGAATATTTATTTTCATATATTTGTATTTCTGATCATTAAATTAAATCAGAATTAGTTCAAATATTTAATAAAATTAATTTATACCATTTATAATATAGATAAATAATATGATCGTTTTCTTATTTTTATTTAGATTAAAAAAAAAAGATATTTTTTTTCTAAATAACATATTCAATAGCTAGAAGATTATTTTATATTTTAATTTGAATTTGATCAACCTTTTATTAGGATGTGGGTGTGGATATGTGACCATGAGTGAAAGAGAAGACTATCATCCACACACTCTCAAACTGCATTAATGCTTATAATCACAAACGTATATAGCTGAATCAATAGGTATCTTAAAATAACAATAACGTGTTTTTTTGCCAATATAGCCAAGAGAACCATCACCAGCATGATGATCCTGACGACAACCATAATAGGTAGCAGAAGCAGCATCAAGATAAGCATCGAGAAAATCAGTAGCATTGAGAACAACACGAGAACCACCATTAGAACCACCACAAGAGGCAGCAAGATAACGATCTGAATTGCGAATTTCAGGATCGCGAAGAGCACCATGATTAAAACGATGATAAGAGAATTTAGCAGCTGCAGCAGCAGCTGAACCGATAGCACCATCATTATACGCTCTATCGTTACGGTGACAACGAGGACAAGTTGGCTTGGTGGTAGATAATACTTGTGCGTTACTCAATGTGGCCATGTTCGACGAGGCTAAATAAAGCTTTAAGAAATCAAATGTAGAGTTATTAAATGGTTGTAGATCTTTCTGATAATTCATTACAAATGGTAACGTCCTCACAAAAAAAGATTACAATTACAACGCATTGCGGAGGGGTGTGAATGTGATTACTCTGTTTATTCTACACCCACATCGTCAAGACCTCATGTCTTTGGAGAACATGTCATTCTTCTATAGGAAGATATTTTTCTAATTAAGTTATTCATGTGCCACAAAATACTTTAAAATTGTAATCTCTGGTTTTATATTAAATTGTATATGACAGATCAGAATAACATCATTTGAAAAATGATAGAAGTTATGAAGATGAAATTAAGAACTAGTTCGAAAAATACACTGTTTGTGGATTTTAAATGACTTTTCAATTTCTTTGTAAATATATCAGTGAGAAAATGCTTTGAATTCTAGGTAGTACTGAATTTTATCCGATTTCTATTTATGACAGACAATACTCACCAAGTATTTGATTATTTAAAGTAATATTGCGAAGGAAACGTTGTTTGAAACAGCTCTCTTTTTTTTCTTTCCAACTAGAAATGAAACGATGTAATACACTTTCTTCCTTCTATAAATTTAATTCTTCCAAGTAGCATCAGGTTGATTGAAAACAGGAAAACAATATTTTTTTCTTCGACAGACGGCAGACAGAACTCTTATCAAGTAGAGTTTAAGAATTCTGTTTCAACAAAGGTAACATTGCTGTATATACAGAAGTCTGTTGTAAATACAGAATTCTAAATACAATTCTATTTTCGAAGAAGTAGTGGGTATACAAAATTCTTAAATTCTGCTTGGGAGAATTTTGTCACTGCTGCTTCGAAAATATTTATCATGTACTCTGCACACAGAGGTGTAGAATCTGCCGCTAAAATAATAAATTTCCCCTAACGGCACATTTTTTATGAAAAGTTTCCCCGCTATAGAATTTAATAAAAAAAGAGAATAGTGGTGATGATATAATCTCACAAAATGTGAAGATTATAACAGTGTTTTACGTCATAAATTCGCACAAAGAGCAAGAGCAAAGGAAAAGTGGTAAGATACAGATTCGCCGTAAACAAAAATAAATGATATTAGCTACGAGAAAGACATGGATGATTCTTTTAAAAGTTTACAAAAAAAAGAGAAAAAACCTGCAAGATCTTATTGATGAAGATATAAATAAACTAAGATTTTTCCAAAGAAGGGAAAAACATTTTCCTACGCGGAAAAGATATTTCCCAAAAATTTTCCCAGAGGCTAATAAATTTTCAAAAACTTCCCTGCGTAGCTGTGCGCTTGAGGGTGTACGTGTGTGGGTGTGACAGTGTATTGTGTCTGTATTACCTATACCCATACTACAAACCGATAAAAATACCGACTGTACTCAACTGGATTATTTCCTTCACACTATAGTTGACGTACGAGAAGGTGAGATTATTTTTCTTATCCTTACTCTGTCAAGCGGTTGAAAACTTTGTTGAATCGATATATACTCGAAATAATTATCGGTCTTTACCTGTGTGCGCTGAAAGACAAAAGCAACACCAGACCTACTACCTATTATCGAGCTCTGAAATTATTTCTTTTCTTCCTACGAAAATCGCAATAGCTTTTTCCGGGAACTGAAGTGTCAGAACAAAGAAAAATAACTTTTATTCGTGAAAGAGAATGAAGTAATGCAGGCAAAAAAATTCTCCAAAAAACTAGAATATAACGGAAAGGACAGACACGTTTTGTGGGTGAGGTTATGGATACGGTATTCACCCAGTACCCATACGCACACTGAGATACTTCGTGTTTGATAGAAAATCTGGATCGAATATAAAATAAAAGACAACGAAGACTTTATTCATGGAGTTCACTCACTGCTTCCTCCTTGGGATGTACTTGGCTTCGTATACAACAACTTATTTTAAGTAGTTAAACGATTGCTATGTGGTATGATCTCTGACTGAACTAGTTACCATATCGTGATGACGAGAGCAATTTCTTGATGATCTAACAACTTAATACAATTTGTTGTATATACGCGATCGAGAGCTATTCTGAGAAACCTTCTTTCCTTTTATTGCATATTTTCTTTCTGTATCGTTACTTCTCTAAAAACTGAAAGATAAGATGAAAGAAATTGTTATTATTAATCTAATGATTGTTTTTATTGATCAATAATCGAAGTAAAATAATCTCTTGATTATTACATGAAAATGTTTATGCTTGTAATTATCTACCACATATAAATACATTTAACTTCAGTCATTGAATAAAATTGTCAGTAGCATATACTTTCATTATCTGAGAAATTGTTTCGAGATAATTAAAACATCTAATAGTAACAATTATGTTCAATAACTATATGTATATATGTTTATATAGTGTCGAGATTCAAAAAAATTAACAATAAAAATTCGTTTATTTTACCCACATGGTTTTTGTTTAAATAGTTGTGCACGATCTTTACAAAGATTAGCTTGTTTAAGATGTTGGTCAGCTTGTTTGAGATATTGTTCAGCTTGCTGATGTAAATATGCTACGACTTCATTGAAAAGTCTTTCAAATAAATCATTTTCATGCTCGAACATTAATATTTTGTCAGTATAATCTATGGCCCAACTAGTATGCTTAGCAATTGAAGCACAATATATATATATTTGATATATATGTTCATAATCATAAATTAATGGTACAACTTTTGAACCAAATGAACCAGAAAGAATGAAAAAAATCTTTTGATTAGCATTTGTTTGAATAAATGTAACACATTGATCGGCATCAACAAAGATTTTGACTTGTTGAGAAGAATCTTCAGTTAGTTTTGCACGAAAACTACTGATACCATCATTTGCATTCGCATCGAGCCATATTACCATATAAGAACAAGTCATTCTGTCATTTTTCAAAATGTAAGAAAAACGTTTCTTATATACAGATATTAAATAAAAATACCTATTCCGAGAACGTATAAATATGGTTCATACTGGAAAAAAACAGTTAAACGGAAAAAACCTAACGACTGGTTTCTTCCTAGCAATCAATTTCTTTGTATACTACTATAAAAAATATTCATGCTTTGTATTTATGTAAGTGTATTAGTGCGTGACTAATGATAGGAGTAATGTACTTTTTAAAAAGGAAATTTCCAACATTATTTTCGTTTTGCTCGATGTATTGATTTGTTGCTTATTTTTCATAACTATCATATCTCTCTTCCTGTATTTACTAATACTTCATAAAAAATAATTGATCAAGCAGATTCTTTCATCGACAAATAACAATAGATTGTACGTCATACATCATTTTATTTTTATTGAAGGCCATTTATATACTGTATGAAATTTATACGCATATTTATTGATAGATGTGAGTTAATCTTAAAAGAATTTCGTTCATCAGAGGTCGAAATATGCAAAATAAAACAAAGCAAGTAAAAGTGTATTTAGAATTTAAGTTTATTTTCAATTGATTGAAAGATATATATATACAATGAAGTAATTCAAGGAGAGTCTAACCTTTATTGATATCATCTCATTTTCTATAGAATTAGCTATACTTCCGATGATGACGATTGAAAAACTTTTGCCTTGAATCTATTATACAAAAAAAACATATTCATCCTTTTCATTTCCTTCTGTGACAATAATTACTCATACAACCGAATTCTCAAGTTTCTATTTTTCTCTCTTAAGCTTTTCATGATGTCTTATATGTTTTAAAATCAACATAGAGATTGATTATTTGTGTCTAAACTCAATTTAATCTATGATATCAATCAAATGGAGTTTATGCAATAAAATTCAATAACTTGTTTATCAACATTTGCCAACCAAAGACACTTTTATCGGAAATTCATGAAAATTAATTACTTTTTATTTTAAAAAAATTGTCTTTTTTGTGAATTAGAGAAAAAAATCAAAGTTTTCAAAAAGTTCATTTTGTCTTTTGAAGAAAAGTGGAATTATTTTTCTTTGATATTTAGTAGCAGATGTTATATTCCAAAGATTATCCCAGAAACGTTTGTAACCAGTTTGTGAGAAGCGTACTAATGTGAAAGAAATATGTACAGAATTAAAACCCAGCAAAGATGTAAAAGCAACTATTTAAAAATCTTCCATTAAATCTATCAGAAATTAAGATATTGATTAAAAAGAAGAAAAGTAAATATATATTGTCATCGATAATCTACTAAAGTTAAACATAAACATAAAGATATAAATGTCTTTCTTCGTCATCATACACATGATAGATGAGAGAAAAGAAAAAGAAGATATATTTTATTTGATATAATATTGTCTCGTTCATTCTTATTCGATGTTTAAGGTCAAGGAGTCGATGACCAAGAAATTCTTGGTTTATTATCATTATATATTATCTAACAAAAAGACTAATTTAGAATATTCTTTTAGATAAATTCAATGATGATGGTAAAAGATAAGATTTTATTAAAAAAAACACTTTTCTTATTATTTTAAATATTTGTCCTTATTGACCTTTGATTAATTTTCATATATTATTTATTTAATAGATTTAATAAAATAATTGTCAAATGGTATCAAATAAAGAAGAAGATTCGTCAATAATAACAATTGAAGAATTATTTTCTTTAGTTCCAATTGAAAAATTAAATGAAAATGATTTAAAAAAATTTTCATTTAATTTAAATAGTATTAAAAGTTTATCGCATATTAATAAAAATTTAATTGAATCAATCAATAAATGTGATTTGTATCATGAAGGAATTATTAATGAAGATTTATTTAGTTTTTATCGTTCTAATAAAAATGAAGCATATCTTATTGTCATTGCTAAAGATTCATCAAATAATAAATCATTTATTCGTTATACATTTTCCAAATTATTTCATGATTATCAAATTGGACAATTAAAATTTTCAACAAAAAATTCCTTTTATAAATCTAATCAATTTATTGATTTAAGTTTTGTTCAATTATTTCTTAATCAAGCTTATGTGTTTAAACTTGATTATCTTTCATCAAATTACATTGATAGTTTACATTGGTGGAAAAAAGGTCTTATTTATCAAATTATTCCATCATCTTTTCAAGATTCAAATAATGATGGATTTGGAGATTTAAATGGTTTAATACAAAGATTAGATTATATTCAACAATTAGGTTTTTTATTTTTATATTCAATAGATTTCATTCAGATAATTAAAAAAATCTTTTCTTATGTATTTTAGGAGTAAAAACAATTTGGTTGACTCCAATATATAAAAGTAAATTTCGTGATCTTGGCTATGATATAAGTGATTATTGTTCAATTGATCCTCGTTTTGGTACATTAGATGATTTTAAAACATTAATAAATGAAATTCATAATCGTCAAATGAGATTAATGGTTGATTTTGTACCAAATCATTGTTCAATTGAACATCCATGGTTTCAATCAGCACTTAAAAATGAAAAACCTTATGTTGATTATTTTATTTGGCATTCAGGTAAAAATAAGGATTCAAAAATTCCTCCGACAAATTGGATTGGTTATGCTGGACAATCCATGTGGACATGGTCACCAGAGAGAAATCAATGGTATTTACATCAATTTATGGATTGTCAACCTGATTTAAATTTTCGAAATGAAAATGTTTGTCAAGAAATTGAAAATGTTATGAAATTTTGGTTAGATTTAGGTGTTGATGGATTTCGTGCTGATGCAACAAAACATTTAATTGAAAATGATCAATTTAAAGATGAACCACTTAAAGAAAATGATCAACATGATGATTTACAAGTTGAATATGAAGCTTATGAACATACAGAAACATCAAATCAACCAGATACTTATAAAATTATTACGAGATGGAGAAGATTTTTAGATGAATATATTACAAATAATAAAAGAGATTATATTATTTTAATTACTGAAGTAAGATTTACACAATGAAATTTAACTTTTTCTTCTTCTTCTTGCTCACGAAGATAAAATATAAATTTGAATATTTAGACTCAAGATAAAGATGTTGATTCTGATATGAAATATTATGGTCCAAATCGATGGTCAAGAGGAAATGATATGGCAATTAATTTTTTTTTAGCTTATTTTCTTGGAGAAAATCCAGAAAATCGAACAGGTGAGAAATTATCAAAATTTATTCAATCATGGTTAGAAAAATTACCAAATGAATGTTGGACTACTTGGACAATGTCTTCACATGATAGTAAACGTGTTGCAACAAAATTAGCATCATCAAATCTTATTGATGGATTTTATATGTTACTTTTATTTTTACCTGGAACACCAATTCTTTATTATGGAGAAGAAATTGGTTTGTTAATCTTTTTTAAATTTATTTAAGAAATTTTATTTGAAAATAGGTATGGAAAATCTTCAATATACAAAAGAAATTCGTCATGAAATTAATGATTTATCTGCATTTAATTATGGAATTAATGATGAAAATAAAATTGAAGAAAAAACACGTGATGGTCAACGAACACCAATGCAATGGAATTCTGATGAAATAAATGCAGGTTTTACAAATGCAACTAAACCATATCATCCACTATCGAAATCATGGAAAACAATTAATGTACAAAATCAATTAAATTCAAATCGATCTCATCTCAAATTATTCAAACAATTAGTTCAACTTAGACAAAATGAACCATTTTATTCAGGAAAATTTCAACTTATTTTAGCTGATAAATATATTTATTCATTTATTCGATGGTCAAGTGAATTAGAAACAGCACCTATTTATCTTATTATTATTAATATGTTTGGTGCTGGACAAAATGATCGAGAAGATCAACATATAAATTTAGATTTTATTAAATTATTAAAATGTAAAAATAAAAATGCAAAAGGAAAAGTTATTGCACGATCAACTAATATTAAAGATAATTCATCTTTATCTAGTGAAGGAAATCAAGTCGATTTAAATGATATTTGTTTATATTCAAGTGAATCTGTTCTACTTCAATTATTATTAAATATTCATGAGATTGATTTATCTTCAACATAGATTTCACATTTTACTATAAACTTTTATTTATTCAAGCATTATATACATCTTTTTCTTTTTCTTTTTCTTTTTCTTTTTCTTTTTTCCATAATAAAACTTATTTCAGCACTTCCATATTTTCTAAAAATATACGACATATTCAGATCAAATAGATTAAGTTCTCGTATTGCGAAAGTAACAAGGATAGAATATAAAATATTCTTGTCTTTTGTAGAAGGAGATATTCGATTTTGACAGTGGGCTTAATTTGTATATGTAGAAAGATTGCAGGTATTTATATTTATATCAATGACATCTGAAACCTTTCTAAATTTCATTGGTTCTGAACTCTTATAGTCTACATATGAGACATAATTGAGATTCACAAAACTCAAAATAAACTACGACTAGAGTGCATATTTATAGATCGATGTTTTATCCAGTGAAAAAGCCAAGGAGGTCACACCCTCGTGAGATTTTCTCATTTAACATCTGACACTTTGTGTTTGTCGTCATGAAAATAGGGTTTTATCTCTGAAAAAAAAAAAAACTTGCATAGAACACTGTTGTATATGTTTAAGTGAAAGCTGAATATCTAACGGTGTAAGTAGCGAATGAGTCAGTGCTTACACTTACTCCATGTATTCACTTGTAGTTATTGACGTGTCAATGTATGTCTAACCGGCTGTTAAGCAACGTGTATAAAGAACAGAATGGAGAAAAGAAAAAAAGAAAAGAAAAGAAAAGAAAAGAAAAGAAAAAGCATATTATTGCACCATAACAAACTAATTTTTTATTGAAGTTGGATAAAAATTTTGAGCAATTAAGAAGTATATACTCTGATGGCATCATACATTCGTACAATACTTGGTAAATTATTTGGTAAATCCGAATATCGAACATTAATTATGGGTCTTGATGCGGCTGGTAAAACGAGTATTCTTTATAGATTAAAATTGAATGAACATGTTATGACAATACCTACAATTGGTTTCAATGTAGAAACATTAACATTTAACAAAGCTTCAGTGACAATGTGGGACGTTGGAGGACGTGATAAAATTCGTCCTTTATGGCGACATTATTTTCAAAATACCCAAGGACTTATTTTTGTTATTGATTCTCACGATGTCGAACGATTGGAAAATGCAAGAGATGATATTTGGCGTGTTCTAGGAGAAGATGAATTAAGAGAAATACCTTTATTAATTTATTTCAATAAAACTGATTTACCTAATGGATTAAAACAAAAATATGCTATTAAAGAAATGAAATTAAATGAGATTAAAAATCGAAATTGGCATTTACAACCATGTTCGGCTTATACAGGTGATGGTGTGCATGAAGGTTTAGATTGGCTAATACGTGCAATGAAATCTCCACTTTCTTCTCAATCAACAATTTCTACAACTGCAAACAATGTCAGTCAAGCTGAAAATCAATCGTTACAATGGTTATCTCAAGTAGATAATGAGACAAATGAAGAATTTGCTGATAAATTTGTCAAACATGATTTATCAAGTGAAACATTTGATCATCGCACATTAGTTAGAATAATCTGGTGTTATTTAAAGATATTTGGTCGAAAAGAAACAATTAAATCAGTATTTGATAATCTAAATTTTTATCTTAAAAATGTAAATGAAACATTAATTTATTTTTGGATTCAAATTGTTCATTATGCTTGTGAAGCAACAAAAAATCCAACAAATGATTTCTCAGGATTTTTATTAATGAATCCACAAATTCTAAATGAAATTGATTTACCATTGACTTATTATAAAAAAGATACATTATTCAGTAATCAAGCTAAAACAGCAGTTGTCTTACCAGATATTAAACCATTACCAAGTATTATACCGTCATCAAATTCTACGAATAATAAGATAAAGACACAATCTCTTCGTGAATTTGATGATGATGATGAATTATTAAAAGAATTTGAATCTTGTACATTGACATGTTGGTCACATAAAATTCATTTACATATAACATGGCTTTATTTAACACGTGATGGTCGTCGGATTGGTGTTAATAAAATATTTGATAATATGAAAATTTTTTTTCAATCTAATCAAATATCACCAATGATTAAATTTCATTTTACATTGACTTATTTTTGGATTCAAATGGTTGATTTAGCTATTGCACAAAATTCAAAAGATCTAAATTTTAAAGAATTTATTGAGAAAAATCCACATCTATTGAATGAAAATTTATTCTTAGATTATTATAAGAAAAAAACAATATTAGACAATCCAACTGCACAAGAACAAATGGTTTTACCTGATATTAAACCTTTACCAACATTAGTTACATCTAATAACAAAAAATAATTCCGTTTCTTCGTTTAGTAACAACGATTTTATAAACATATTTTTTCATCAAAAAGCACTTTCTCACAACAAAATTCATTCTGTAATAGAATTAAAATGTTTTATATTCCCAAATGTTATCACATACTGAGCAAACCATTTTTCTTAACTTTGTTTTTTACCATTCTACCATGAATATTTCTTGATTTATATTCGAACCTATATATTTATTGGAACATGTCAATATTTAGATAATCAAGATAAAATAAATATGATGTATTATTGTATAAGTAAACTTTATCTACCTGTGTAACTATTCATACTTATTATAAAGAAAGAAAAGAAAATGGGAAATGATACAAAATTTGTCGAGACTATACTGAAAATAAAAAAGATTTTTAATCGTTTTAATAAAGTCGGAACCCTTTTCTGCTTTCGTATGATCAAGCTGTTGTACTACACTATTCCCGAAACTGCTCTGAAGATTTAACAAATCTTTTGTAAATATAGTGTGAGAATTGCATTACATTGTTTGTTGTAAACAATATCGTTTATTAACTAATTCTCTTGATTTTTTCATACCAATAAAATTATTCTTTGAATTATCCTAAATATAAAAACATAGAATTACGTAATCCATATTATTTTCCATTCAGTCGAACTATTAGATTACATATCATCAAAACCAGTATTCCTATGACAGATGAAAGCGACGACAACGTGTGCTTCAGTTCTCTTTGAAGCTTTCATCACATAACAATTGTTATTCGTTCTGTTATTTTAGTCAAGTTGACATTTAAAAAAAAGAGAAACCAACTTTAATCAAACACAAATCGGTGATTGCATTTTTTTTTCATTCGTTAGAAAAAATAAAAGAGAGTCAGGCTGTTTGAGGCAAGCTATACTTGAAAATGTCTATTAAAATAATCAAACACGTGGTGAGTATTCATTATTGATCTAGTCGTTCAAAATTCTTTCTCGTTAATATATATCGAATGGAATTTCGAATTCTTTTTATAAAAGAAAAAAACAGAATGTTTTCAGATATTCTTCTGAAGCGATTTAAATTTGTTTTTTTCGTAATATGAAGCATATCACTTGAAGTTTTATTTCATATAATTTTATTTATTATATGCGTTCAAAATGATCATCATCAACTGAAACACATGAAATCAATTTGATTTCATTTCACATGATCTTTCAGAAAAAAACTTCAAAGTTGTTAAGTCTGATGATTGTGGAGCTCACCGCATTGAACCACCTCTTCCGATTCATCTGTTTGGAAACTAAGTATCCAAATATTGTCACACATCGATGGCGAAGTGAGAAAGAGCCCCGTCCTCTTGAAAAGTAATCGAACATACCTTGCTTAATCTTCTAACTTCTGAAACAGGAAAAGGTTTGGAGTTTCGACATGACAAACCAATATCAGATTCTGTTGACTAGTTTCTTTTAATTAACGGTAGCTTCATCTGGAAAAAATAAATTTTTCTAAATATTATTATCCTCCAACATTGATAATAATATTTTGCACGGACTGTACCTTGTACGCTTTCAATGAAAGATAATCAGTTATAATTCGATGTACTGTTGCTCGTGAAATAAAACAATCATTTGGGGTTCATTTTAAAAAAAAACGTGAACTTTGTTAACTTTTTATTCGTGATTTTTGAAGGTGTTTCAGAACTTGATTGATCTTCTACCATTGTAGTTTTACAAAATCTGTGAAACATCTTTCTAATACCATCGATGCCTTATAGTGTTTCTTCGCCAAATTCGACTTGTAATTCTTGATTCTAATATTTGTAGGGATAGATATTTATGTGAAATTCCATAGAATAAAACTTCAAGTAATATGCCTCCATCTTATTTAAAAAAAGATATAAAGCAATATTTATGTTCATTTTCACTCCATCCTGTATGAGAATAAGAAATAATTTGTATACATTATCATATTTTATTATATATCTATAGGAAGTTGTATTGGTATTTGTTGGTTGTCTATAAATGAAATGACAAAATTATTTATATTAACACGTTGTTTTAATCAATTAATTCTTTTTCTTATTGAATCTCTTCCAAAAATGATATATGAAACAAAAAGATCAAATAGACAAGGATTACGACTACGCTGGATCAAACGTATTTTTATGATTAGCATTTTTATATGTATTATATTCTATTTTCGACTTCTCATCGCTAATGTTAGTCCAACGAGAAGTAGTTTTCATGAAAAGAATAATATCTCAATATTGAACAACATCATCAAAACAACTATAAATATTAATATCGAGAGCATGTTTGATGATGAAGTAACACATAGAAACAACAAACATCTGGTGACATTTTCGGGTGAATACGAAGAGATTCCTCCTATGTTAACAATGAATAACAGTATTCAAAAATACGATCTTGAAGAAATCTTGTTTGCCGTTACTACTAATACAAAACGAATTCAGACAACAATTCAATACTTAAAATTTTGGACAAATCTTTCCAATATTAATTGTTTAATAGTTTTCGATGAAATGGATTTCGTGAATCACACGAATATCACAGAATATCTAATGTATGAAGGAATTCCTTGTGCAGTACAAACTTCATCTGTATTACGTTATGAAGAAAGATATTTAGAATTATTCTATTTGGCTTGGAATAAGCAAACAACAGTGAAAGAATATAGCGAAAGGAAAAAGGTGCAATGGTTTGCTATAGCAGATGATGATACTATTTGGTTCGTATATAATCTCTTACGTACTCTGGAACATTACAACTCATCAAACACAATATATTTAGGAAATATTTCTACTAAGAAATTTCAAATTACACAACATGGTGATTATTTTGCTTATGGTGGTGGAGGAATTCTTTTTAGTCGATCATTAGCATTATTATTCGTTCAACATCGTCAAAAATGTAAACGATTTCTTAAATTATATAATGGAGATGAGATGATTGGTAAATGTGTAATTGAAGAATTGAAAATAAATTTAACAAAAAATAAGAATTTTCATCAAATGGATCATATTGGAGATATGACTGGTCTAATGGAAAGTGGTTTAGATGGATTAGTATCTTTACATCACTTATTCAAACTTTGGCAACCATTTCCTGATACAAATATTAATAAATCAAATGAAACAATACATCGTTTGAATATCGCTTATACTACATTCAATAAAAACTTTTTAAAAAGATATCTACGAATTAATTATAATACTAATCAAAGTATGTTATTGACATTGGGCTATTCAGTTAGTTTATTTAATCGAATATTATCTCATACAGAATTATCTCTAATTGAAAAAACATGGTGTTGTGATGAAGTAGTCGATAGAATAACTAGACCAGAAGAAAAAAATAAAACAACTTGGTATTTTCAAAGATTGATTAATAAACAATCTACAAATCCCATTAAATATGAAATGATTTATAAAAAGAAATTTAATATCAATGATCAATATTCAAGTTTAAAAGTAACAATCATCAATTGACTCATATATTAGCATCTACATCTATCAATCCTACTTACAATTTGTTTTTTGAATGAAGGGTTTATGTTACTGTGAATGAATATTTTATATTGATCTGCATTCACTATTAAGATGTAGAAAATAAGATATACATATTTTTTATGTCATTCTTTTTTTTATTGTCATCAAACTCGAATACATACAATGTTCAACAATAACTGATAGCTAATTCTGTTTTATTAGATACTACGTGTCAACTGAACATATTAATTTGAAAGCAGAATTAAAAAATAATGTGAATGCTTGAATGTGTAGATCTAAGGGTAATAGAGAGATGGAGGTAACATTTCAAAAACGATATAAACATATTGCAGTAGGAAAACTAAAGACCAGAACAAGTAAAAAGAATTTTAATTTTATCTACAAAATAATTATTGATATCAATTTTTAGAGTGTTTAAGCTAGTTTATATCGTATAATAGACAAGATTTTATACAATTCTGATCGGAACTTATTATTTTTTACATTAAACATTTAAGATTGAGGTTGAGGGTGTGACTTTGACTATAAGTGTTCTCTACACTCTGACTAGCATCCACATGCTTCTAACCTCTGTAGGAGCAATTGGAAATGAGTCAGCACATGAATTATTTAATATGTTGAACGTTGATTTTAATCAATAAAAATAAAGATTTGAAAACTATTTTTTGATGATTACAGAATGATTTCTCTTGATGAAAAATGGTCAGTCCATTAAATAGACGAAAATGCGCAAGCTAGTATATTTTTGTTATGATAAAATGTGTATAAATGAAATTTTAGATTGATGTAATCAGGTTTGGAATAATTAATAGAATTTAATATTTTTTTAGTTTAGTAAAAATGTTTCTTAAATATTAAAAGTGAAAAATATAGAAAACGTTTTTGTTTATAATTAATTGATTACAAATGAGAATAGTAAAAGAGGAAAAACTAAATATCTGAAAATCTTAATACATTCAATTATAATGAATATTTCTCGTTTTCAATCGATTAATCTCTCTCATTTCATTAAAATAATTGATTTGAATTTAAAATCTGATTTGTTAATAATAGTTTATTGATCAAAGTATCATTTAGTTAATCTATAATAACTTTATTTGGCAAATATTAATCAATATATATTATATTTGAGAAAAAAAATTTCTTTTCCTTTTTTCCTAAACGAGCAACGGTCAGATCATTTCATTCATAAATTTACATTTTAGGAAAGTCTATTTTCTATTTATTTTATAAGAGATTTTATTCATATAGCTGTTCATTTATATTTGAATTCGAATTAGGCAACTCATACTTTCAAACTTTTAATCATATCATACTAAATCAAGGTAATATTAATCTTGATTTCAATCTTTATTCAACGTTTTTATTTACAACGGTACACGATTATTTTAGACAAAACAAATTTTTTTCGGAAGAATTTTGCTTTCAATGATTTGAAAGATAAGAAATATAAAAATTTAATTAATTGCAATTAAATTCAATTGAATATCGTTGATCCAAATATTGAAGAAAATTAAACAATTATTTTTAACACGAATACCAAAATAAACATTGGAAATATCATTGAGAAGAAAGTTTTCTATAAGAGTAACATTAAACCATCGATCATCACCATGGATCTGGTGTTGTTCTGTCAACCAATTATATCGAAGCATTTTCAATCGGCCCCCACGATCTGCTCGATCGCCTAATAAACAAATATCGATAGGAGGTCCACTTAGTAAATAATTGTCGTTAGGAGTTTGATCGACAAACTAAATGAATAAATTGTTTTGTGAGATTTTTTTTTCATCAACTCTAATTGAGTTTAAACATTTAAAAACGTTCTCCTACCTGACGTCGTAATCGCATTTGACATGTTAAATTATAACGACCTGGAAGCAAATCGGCCCATAAAGGTATTTGATTGAAATAGAAATATGTCGTACGAAGCGAAATCGATGACTCATAAGATCCTGCAATAGAAATTCCACCATCATTGTCAATCTTCACTGGTCTTCGTACATGTATCGGTCTTGTACGTTCTTCATAAACCATATCATCAACAGATAAACAGCGACAATGATTAATTAGATAACAATAGATAAGTGCACCAATTGGTGCTAAAATACTTTTATTGTTTAATCTGAGAAGAAAGAAAGAAAGAAAGATATTAATAATTAAATAAGATGTCATATCATTCGAAAGAGAAAACTTTGTTTCCTTTAACAGATATTTCTATTGAACGAAAAAATTGCTCACCGATAAAAGTATAAACGAAATAATTTCGATGATAATAAAACTGGACAATCTAACATTGGAACACAATCCAACAGTCGAATAGGATTTGGAAACATAAATCGTCTGTACGCAAAAAAACCACGGATCTCATTTTCTGCTGTAGTAAAATAACTATACCAAGAACGAAACTGTCTCGGCTTGAGGAACTTTTCATAGAAAACTTCGTAAGTTTTCATATCTAATAAAAGTCTTTGAGAAAATCGGTTATTCTCAGCAATAATTACATCTTCATCTTCATTTTCATCTTGGTCAATTAAAACTCGTATTGATTGACAAAGAACAGTTGATTTACATTTCAAATGGATTAAATAAAACCATAATGATGATTCATGTGACCACAACATATGACGCAAAGTTTGACATGTTGATGATAATTGAGCTATTTCGGCTATTGATAAACATCGACAAATATTAAACCAACAAAGATCCGGTAATTCGATCGAAGAATCAATCATCTAGAACAAAAGATAACAATGTTTTAATAAATTTTATTTAAATAACTAATAAAAAGATGAAAAAAAAATTTTTAATAAGAATATCTGACAAACATTTATTATGCTGAAACCAAAACACAAATCTGTTTATCAAGATATTCTTCTTTTAGCTAAAGAATTTTATTGAATTCTAATACCAATGAATGAAAATCAGACAATATTGGTTTGAAAAAAAAACTTTTTTTTCATTTATATCAAGATGATCACTTTATATCTATTCAATTGAGAAAAGTCTTGTCGATAAAGAATCAGTTTTTATTAAAATTAATCCAAGAACTACGATTCAAATTGGAATTATTGTTGAACTTTAATTTAACTTCAATATTTTTCCATTTTTAGAATTAATTCAATTTCTTTAATCTGATTAAAACAAGATCAGATTTTATCAATAATTTTAAAGAATGAATTTAATAAATTTTGTACATCTAAATAAATAAATTTGATTGATAGAGAAAAAATGAAACTCATTTATAATTCTCAAAATATGCATAGATGCCTAATTCGAATTCGAATATAACTGAAAATTTCGCGACACTCTTTAAATTACACAGTAAAAGGAAAAGAAAACAGTTTTCGGCGATTATTGTATTTGCGGTAATTACTACATGAAAAATGAATAATTGTAAAAATCAAAATGAGTTATTGATTTGTGTTACTATTAATATGAATAATATTTTCTACGATATTCTATAACATATATAAAAATCTCTGATAAATATTGATGGAGAACTGTTATTAAATAAAATCTTTCAGAATCAACCAATAGCAATTGAAAAGAAACGAAATGAATAAAATACAAAAGACTTTCAATTGCAAATAAAATCACATTGAATTTTTTTCAAGTTTATAACAAAAAAAAGTAAAAAAAAAAAGTATATGAAAATGATTCGTTTAACTATATCATTAATATATTTGTTAAGTAAGGATAAAATGACGTAAATAATTAATTGAAATTTATTTTGCTTTTAGTGATGATAACTGAAACAAAATCAATAGTATGTATATCATGTACAAATTTAAATAATTCAAATTGTGATGATCCATTTAATTTAACATCAACAACTTTTTCATATATTTTAAATCAAACATATTGTCAAGTTAGTTGAAATTTTATTTTTATTTAAATATTTTATTTTTTTTCTAAAGAAAATGATTAGTATAAATGGAATTATTCAACGTTCATCTTCTGATCAATATTGTTCATCATTTAATACAATTGGTATTTCATCAGCTTATTGTTGTTCAGATAGAGATTATTGTAATAAAACAAATCAATTTTATCAATCTTTTACATTTATTGTAATTCTAATTAGTTTAGCTTTTTTTAAAATTTTTCTTTAGTAACATTTTATATGAGAACAACAATTTTTTTCTTTCTGTAAGAGGAAAAAAACTTCGAATGTTACTATGAAATGAATAGAAGAATTTATTTGTGTTTGTTTTAAAGAAAAAGAAATGATTTTATCGTCCGACAAAAAAGAAAGACTCTATTAACTGTATTCAATTCTTTTTCTAAATATAATAGAATATAATATTATTTACTTAACATTGAAAACTTTTATTAGTTAGTTTTGTACTCTTTTTGCTGTTAACTGAGTTTCGCAGTGGTTTGACATATTGTATTGAATGTTTTATAGCCAGGATGTCTATGGGATAAGTATAAAACATTCACACTCTCTTTTCTTTTCTCATTGGTTTTTAAGAGTCATTGAAGGTTTTTTTTTTATAAATAACTGTTGTGTTCATGAGCAACTTTTATTCACAAAAGTATTTAACGTTGTATTGATATAGAAATCTTTAATTTTGTTTTTTGAAAATAATTTCATTTTTGTCAGCATTATGACATGTTTATAGATAATTAAAGTTATTATTTAGGATAAATTTATTGCCAAAATGATTTATAAATATTTTATTATATTTGTAAGAAGTATCAATTAAATACTGAAAATTTGATTGATTCTTGGAAATGGTTAAAATATAAATATTTTTCTCATTCTATAACACAATAATCTCGAAAGATTAATTTTTTCTGTATTAATCGATAATAAAAAAAACATTTATTTCTATTGTTTTTTTGACAATAATAGTAAATGGTAAAAAAAGCAAATCTTTTTTCTTCAAATTAATCGAAAGAATTAATTGATTTAGTTGATTTTAATTCTTTTCAATCATTAGATGATCGTATTGGACATCCTGATTGTGCTCATGTAAAGCAGAATGAATTGAAATTAGAACGATAAATCAAAAGTAAAAAAGTCACCTTCAAAAACTGAAATTCAATTAAAGATTTTAAGTGACTTGTTCTATAATTAGAAAATCTTAGAAATCAATATATTAATGATCTTTAAAAAAATCTCTCGTTTATCATAAACGAGATATGACAATTATCATGATATTTTTAAAAAACGGCTTGAGTATTTAATGCAAGACAAAAATTGTTTTCAACTAATTTGTTTTCCATCCATTGAAAATCTAATCAAAACAAAAAAAGCAGTTTCCAAAAAGTGGTTAGATATTTATGAACGAATCTAATTATAGATTATACAACTATTCTTCAGATCTTTTGTTTATTTGTTTATTTATTTATTAAATTAGTTTTTCTGTAAAACAAAAGTTATATGAAACATATGATAAATGATCTTTTGTTAGATTCGAAAAAAAGTTGAAGTTCACTATGCTATAGAGTATAAATATGGAATATGTTTATAAAAGTCGTTTTAACCACCAAATTCGCAAAACTAGTTAGTTTTCAAGACCATCGTTTCGTCGAATAATGCGAACTAGGCATAGATTGTCCTCCATCAAATTTTGTCGGATTCCGAGTATTTGAATCATTCGATCCAAATTGTCTATTTGCATTGTTAGTACGAGTTCTTGAATCTAAAGTATTATTATATTCAGTAAATCCTAAATTATTGTATGTGTCACTCTCAAATCTTGGTCCTTGATTGGGCCTAGTTCTTGGATAATTGTTATTCATGGACGTTTGGATTTGACTTGAATTTAAGGTACGAGAAAGGCCGTAGGTGTCGTGAACATGTGGAGGTCTATCGGGTGCATATTCTGTTGATGAATGAGTAAATTGTCGATCCGATGTGGAGTGTTTGCTAGTTGGTTGATTTCTTATTGGTTGACTGCCACCGGATGTGTATCGTGGTGAACTGTAGTCGTTAGTTCCATATCCTACTGCGTCATTGACCCGGTACGTAGCTGCTTGCGGAGTATGCAAATGATTGCTAGGATAGTTTTGCTCCCGTAGCGGACGGCTCTCTTGTGGATAAGATGAAATTTGTGTGCTGCTCAGGTGATTTTTATTGTAATAATTAGTATCAGGATTATTTGTTGGAAAATGGCCTACTTTTATTTGTTTCGGCTGAGGTAATGAATTGTCCATCGACGAGGCTATTTTCTGTTCTCCTCCAGCGCCATTATATTGACTCCCTAGAGAATAAAGCCATTTACCGATACAAACGAGTAATTCATGAGCATAAAGTTTATTCAGCCACTTTTGGGGAATTTTGTGATAGCCATAATAGGCTCCAGCTAATTGTCCATAGATAGCTGCTGTTGTATCGGTATCATCGCCAAGATTAACAGCATTAAGAGCACCTATTTCAAATGAATCTCCATCGGACCAGAACGCCCACAGTGCAGCTTCAAGAGCATTGACAATATAACCTTTTCCTCGAATACCATCATCATAACCTTTGGGACGTTTGTATGATCCTTCAGCAATCTTCTTTATATCAGGGTGGAGTTCATTCTTGCCAAACCATTTTTTATTTTTCGAATAGAATTTATTGTCGAGTAACTCATCTTTTGTATAACCTCGGACAGCAGCAACAATTAAAGCACCATAATAACGGCATGCGTCATAGGCCT